TTACCATTTCAAACTCTTAATAAAGCAAATGTTTTGAAGATGATTTAATTCATTCTGTTTTCATTATGTTTTATTGTCATCAGATGGTTATTTGTTGATCATCCTTTAAAACTTAATAAGGATTCTTGAGATGTTTATAAAATTTAATAAATACACAATAAGATTTCATTAATCACAATAATATCATTTTTATTTAATATTTACTTTTATTTATGAACAATATGATTAAAAACTTTTAATTTTATACTTTCAGTTAATTTGAAATTTTGTTTAATAACATTTGATGAAAAATCATGAAAATAATGGCTACCAAGTGGGGAATAGTAACTGCAGGAAAAATAAGTCATGATTTTGTTAGTTGTTTGAGAAGTTTGCCAAAAGAAGACCATGAGGTAACTGTAATGTGTTATATTACGAAATGAGTAAATTGAACAAAGTCACTGATCTCTGCTCTTCAAAACAAGTCACTGATCTCTGCTCTTCAAAACAAGTCACTGATCTCTGCTATCTTGGAGTTCAAATTTTTTAAAGAAAATTTTATTTTCATACTTGAGTACTTTCGAATTCATTACAAATCTGTTTTCAGAGATAATCTTGAAAATTTTATGAAAATGAGGATCATTTGATGTGATTTTTGTTAAATAGAAACTAGGGTTTCTCATTTCCCGGTCTTTTGCTTGACCTGGGATTCCAGGATAAAAGTGAACTGTTTCCCGGGATCCCAGGACAGAATTAATTATTTTTAAGATATACAAAATACAGTATCATGAAATTAAATGATATAATTATATTATTTTTTAAAGTAATTTAATATGTTCTGCAACCTCCAAAATCATATTAATAATGCTGTGTAAGATACATATTAAAAATTACCTTTGAATTACATAGAAATTTTCACAAATAGAAAAAATTTATTAAAGTTTGCTGGAAACTGCATACAACAACAAAATGCTTTGAAATGAGTTGAAAATTTTAAAAAAATGATTCATTTTTTTAAATTTTCAACTCCATTTGTGACATGCCATAAGGAGGAAAAATTAAAAAAACTAATAAGTAGGTTTAAAATTAATAAATACAAATGTATTCTGACAGTTTGTGTTAATTATACTTTCTATTTGCAAAATTTCCTCAACCTTAACACAAAATAAGAAAAAAGTGAACTTTTAAGAAGTTTGTGGGATTTCCCGGGATGAGAAGAATTTCCCAGGATATTTCCTGGGTTAAAAAAACAACCGGGATCTCATTTGAGAAACCCTAATAGAAACTAATGTAGGACAAGATTAAATTAAGTCAAATTTTTAAGAACACCCCTGAAGATAGACTAGCAATGATCTCAAAAGTATTCAAGTATGAATGTAAAAGTTCTTGAATTCATTATAAGAAAGCAGAGGATAGTGACTGTTATATTACAATTATATGTTAATTATACAAAACTTTTTTAAAATTATTATTTTTTTCATTCTGAAAAAATTCTCTAATTAATTCTCTTAATTAATGATGAATTGTCAGTGTAAGAGAATCAGAGAAAACAGTTCAAAGCAGATGTCTGGTTAGCATCATACTCCAGTTATTTTGTCTCACAAGATTCAATTACTAGAACTATCATTAGTTATTTTTTTAAATAACTAGTGTTTAAGTTTAATTTAAGATAAATGTAAGCAATAAAATTAAATAACATTAACATCAATATTAAAAATGAAATAAGTTCATTTGAAATACAACCAATGGCATGACTATAGTTTCGAGACCTCTGCAAAAAATTTTAAGGCGCACCACTGATCTGAGAAAAATGAAAAATTATAATTTGTTTCAATAGTCATATTTTATATTGCATGAAAACAAAACTAAGAAAACTGAGATAAAATAATATCTGTTGGGCTTTATTTAATAATATATATGTAATTTAAAAATATAAATTTTGAAAAACATTTACACAATACAGGGTTTGTAGACCCCTATGTATTAAAGTCTTTTGAAGAGACTTTAATGCAGAGGTCTACAATAACACTGTGGAATATAAAACATTAAATTGCATNTAGCATGTTTTCTGGTACTTTAGCAAACAAAATAAAATTGTATTTTAGTATTTAAATTTTGTGTTTAAAATTAGATTTCAGTTTTTTCTTTATTTAGCTCAAAACACTTTTTTGAACAGAAATGTACTCGGCAAAATAATTATTCAAGTAACAAACACCTTATTTTTTGCCAAGGGAGTTTTATTAAAAAATTTGGAATAACCAGGTTATTCCAAATTCGAATGTTTAAACCTGGGGATGATCTATGGAGTAGATCGAAAACGTTAGTTTTTTAATAAAACTCCCTTGGCAAAAAATAAGGTGTTTGTTACTTGACTTTTTTTTTCAAAATGTGGCAACAATTTTTAACATTTAATTAACACTATGAACAATGAAGAAAAACAGTTTTAGCATTTTTTGGATGTGAATTCAAGCCCAAAAAACTAATTGAAATTTTTAGTTGGCAACAAATTTCTTGTATGGGTCATTCTAAGTTAAGAGGTACTTTCAACGTCCATGAGAAAAAATCACATTTTTTTCAAAAATTTGTTCGAAATAATGTTATCATCTCTCAAAACTCACCATGTTCTTTATGGTCACTTAAATTCATTACTTAAATATACTTAATTTAGTCACAATAGTACTTCAAACATGAAAAACATATCTCCCCTGGCCTGTCCCCTAACCGATTCTGTTCGTGTATCAGTAATTTTAAATACATAGAAATGTAATAAAATATGAAAATCATTCATTTTAATAAAATAGGATAAGTAAATTATTGTAATCTAACAAGTAAAATTACGTAATATTTCTTTTTCATAANATAAAATAGGATATATGCAAGGTTGTATAATATGTAACATGAGTTTGGGATGCTGTTGATTGTGATAGCCCAAACTCATGAGTAATCACCATAACTGTCATGCTTAGATATGATATCTTGGGTTTCTCAATGAGAATAATAGTCTTCCTCTTCTCACCAGTAGCAGGAGACAGTGGGCATTTTGCAGACATAATGGATATACTGTAAAACACAAGAAGTTATATAAAGCAGCTTGGATTTAAATTCTAACTATTTTCCTGTGCTTCCATTTCACTTGCATCAGCCATTGTATGTGTGAAATATCATATATTGAAACATTATAAGTCGAGCAGTGTGTGTACAGTACATATCATAATTATTGAATGATGACCTAATATACACTTCAACTTTATATATAAAGAAACATTCATATGTTTATATTAAATTCTGATTCTGTTATCTTCTGATCTGTAGATTAAGTTTCCTTCATATTAGCTTTAATCCTCAGATTGGATGCATTTACAAATAGTTTAGTGACTTCTCACTATAATAGTATATTATAATAGTTCTTCTCAATATCATATTTGTATTCTTTAATCAGTTTTCCTTAATTTTATTTAAATTGGTTGAATGTTATCATTATATTGCTCGGCTTGAAATTACAGCAAAAATTTCTAAATAGAAAATTAAAATCTAAAATCTTTAAGAATGTTCTATAACACAAAANATTATGATTAAGTTCTAAATACTCTAGAATTATGTGATTGATAATGATGTGAGGTAGCAAGAGTATTCAGTTATTTAGCTAATGTAGTGATTCTTAATTTTTTCTGATGCCTACACCCCTTGAAGTTTTAAAATATGTTCTCACATCACCACAAAAATTTCTTTTTATTTAACTTTATAGCATCTCTCCACACATTTCAGCTTATCTTTAGGCATAGCTTAAACAATTAAGGGATAATATTCATCTGATTATTAAAATAAAAGCATTTAGAACCTAAGTTAGAACTTTACAGCAGAAATAATACATAACAAAAAACAAACTACTTTTCTGGAGTTCACCTTTATTTACAAATAACATGACATCAAGAAAAGCAGTTTGTTTTTCATTATTTGTAAAGAACTCTGAACTGTTTTCACATTATTAAATGAAAAAATACGTAATTATACAGTGAGTTTGATATTAACAGATTTTTAGTAAAGAACTTTTTTAAATAAAATTCAGTTCTCAATGAAAAAAAGTGGAAAATATTTTAAAAAGTTCGATCAAAGAAATAAAAACATTTATCTTCCAGAAAAAGGTGTCTCAGAGAAGTCTTGCATATTAGAAATAGCATCTTGCAACCCCACAACTAGATGTAGTCCTAATCAAAAATCAAATGGAATACTGTATACAATAAGAATTGGAACTGGATTTGTTAGATCTTTAACTACTATCTAAATCAGGGGTGGCCAACAGTTTTTGCCCCCGGGCCGAATTGGAAAGAAAACTTTTTCCATGGGCCGAACCAGAGGCTGCCCTAGGAAGATTTTGAGATGGTGCGAGATCTCATTGTGGTTGTGAAGCTTCGGAAGTGGGCCTAGAATTTGTGCAAAAAAAGAAAATTTTTTCTAATTTTTGTATAGAAGGAAATAATAATAATAATTATTATAATGTTGTAAAAAGAAACCATCATACAAAAAATGAATGTTTTATTTCCATATAAGGACATATCTGTAGAAATTTCTAAGAAAAATCAAACTTCTCAGAATGAAACAATAAAATAAAATAACTTACTGGAATATAAATACTTAAAATAATCAAACACCTTAGTATTTCCAGCAACGAAGTATTTAATAAAATAAAAACGTTTTCGACTATATTTAATAGTCTTCTTCAGTTAAGCCACTTTAAAACAAAAATGAACGTAAAATAGAACGCAAGCAATACAACGGCTAACTGGGCAACATCCATTTACCTCATCCTTGTTATGGAAGTAGGGGAATTGCATTCCCCTACTTTCATAACAAGGATGAAGTAAATGGATAGTTGCCCAGATAGAGCAATGTTAAAGGTGCAATATCCAAAAATTTTCAAAGATAAAAATAATTCTGTTCAGAAAATTATATTTTCTTCATGAAAATATAAATTTAAATAATATTATTGACAGTTNTTCTTATCTAATAATTTCATTAATTTTTCTCAGTGAAATTATTAGAGAAGAAATTATGATCTTAGTATTTTCAAATTTTGATATATATTTTTGTTACAGGCTGTTTGGAGTAGGTTTCTTCCTGTTTATGATAAACTAATGGAAGAATTAAAAAATATTGGAGATGTGTATTACATACATTCATGTTTTGGTATTTTCCTTGAAAATGTTGACAGAGTTGGTAAAAAGAAATTAGGTGGAGGAACTATTTTAGATTTAGGTATTTATACTGTCAACGCTATTAGCATGGTATATGAAGGTTTAAAGCCTAAAAAAATAGCAGCAGTTGGTCATCTTAACTCTGATGGTAAGAATTCTTTTCAAAATTTAAATATTTTAAATTCAGTAATAATAATATTTATATACATTTTTTAATAAAAAATTTTATATATAAATAATTAAGGTAATTCAATACTTCATGCTATATAAATATGTTAAAAATTGCTTCAATAATCATATTTTTGTAGCATGATTTTAATGTTTTAAACAATATGTTATAAATGTATATAACTAACTGAAACATGAAAATTCAACAGATAAACATACCTTTTTATGGATTGTGAAATTGGATTAAGGGTATCTCATAGGCTTTCCATGTGCTTGTGAGACTCTCCATATCCCTTGCATTAATGCCATCTGTAAATTTATTTTGAAGATTTGTGTATTTCTAATAATTCTATTCCTTTTAACTCCTTTTAATTACTTGAATGATTGTCCACACATCAGAATTTTGAATAACTGTAATCCTTCTTAATATTATCATTAATCATTCAGTTATTATTATCAGTATAGCATACAGGTTAATTCCAAAGTGATTACAATAAGCAGATTATACTATATTTTTAATTTCTATATTTTTTGTTTTATGTTTTTTTTATTGTGATTATTATTTATTGTTATCTNCAATATCCAAAAATTTTCAAAGATAAAAATAATTTTCTGTTCAGAAATTTATATTTTCTTCATGAAAATATAAATTTAAATAATATTATTGACAGTTTTCTAGATATGAAATTTATAAAATTTTTTTGTATTAAAATATTTCCATAAACACAGGTGACCCAAAATTAGTAAATTAAAATATAATTATTCAATAATAATCTTAAAATGTCGTTAAAATGATTTGAAATACATTCAGATAATTGATTTTTGGGCCACTTTATATATTTCCAAGAAATGAAAAATAATTTTTTTATTGTTATTTTGAAATAGCTGTAATTTGCCTCATATGTATTAAACTATAGCACTACAATCTACAAAATTAATAAAATATTGGATAAATCGGGTCAGCAACCTTTCACCAGTGTAGTGCTGAGCCTAAGTTATGTTATTCTGGATGCCAATGTGATTCTACCAATTTTGTTATATGTATTATCAAATAGACATCCACAATGCTGTAAATAAATCGGGCTATATTTTGGAAATAATAATTATAAATTACAAATAAATTTGGCACTAGAGGGAGGCATTAGCACCATCTCGTATTAAAATTAATAATTATAATATTTAATTAATTAATTTAGAATAAACTGGAAGAAAAGAATCGGCCCGAAGCAGGACTGGAACCCACAACTCCCGCTTATCGTATGGACATGTTGACAGTTACGCTACCTGGACCTTCAGTCCGATGTCCTCTTCCAGTATATATATGCATAATTAGGCCTAATGTATAACCATCGATGGTTAATACGGTGCCAACTGGGGACACACTTGTGCCCTCGGTCAGAAACATCCACTCAAGGCACTCAGTCGCCCATTGCATATCCCTGGAAAGGCATAGACATANTTATACATATTAACGGGATATAAATATTAAGAATGTAGAGAGAAAATATTTAGCAGTTACAGAATAATTTAAAACTGATATATGTTTCAAAAGGACTTCACAAAAGTTAAACATCAAAAATATCTTACTTAAAATACAAAATAATTTATATAGTGCATTACACATCTTTAATATATAAAAAGTACTGGCTTTTCATCATATATTGTGAATATATTTCCTTAATAGGAAATCTGAAATTATGTTTTACATTTTCTGTTATATTGAGTCAACTCTTATAAGTATTTTTTATGTATCATATTAATCTTCTGTGAAACTTTTTAACTTTACAATTAATAAATAAGAGCTATCAATTAGGTTCTATTTATAAATTTAAAATTTGGATTGCATTTGTTTCTTAGGTAGAAAAATCTATGAAGTAATAATTTATATACGATATATATAAATAATTATTTATATATATCATATATAAATTATTACTTCATAAACACATTATATATTAAAGTAGATTTTTCTACCTAAGAAACAAATGCAATCCAAATTTTAAATTTATGAATAAAATCTAATTGAACGCTTACAAGCAATATGTGAACAAATTATAATTTATTCACATATTGCTTGAAAGTATATAACTTAATAAAAAATAAAAATGAGAATTATTATTGATTTGACTGTATGTAATGAATAAGTCATGAATTCTAAAATTAAAAAACAAAACAAATTGCCAGTAGTAGTCTTATAACATTTTTAAGATGTATAAATATGTTAAAAATTGCTTCAATAATCATATTTTTGTAGCATATTTTAATGTTTTAAACAATATGTTATAAATGTATATAACTAACTGAAACATGAAAATTCAACAGATAAACATACCTTTTTATGGATTGTGAAATTGGATTAAGGGTATCTCATAGGCTTTCCATGTGCTTGTGAGACTCTCCATATCCCTTGCATTAATGCCATCTGTAAATTTATTTTGAAGATTTGTGTATTTCTAATAATTCTATTCCTTTTAACTCCTTTTAATTACTTGAATGATTGTCCACACATCAGAATTTTGAATAACTGTAATCCTTCTTAATATTATCATTAATCATTCAGTTATTATTATCAGTATAGCATACAGGTTAATTCCAAAGTGATTACAATAAGCAGATTATACTATATTTTTAATTTCTATATTTTTTGTTTTATGTTTTTTTTATTGTGATTATTATTTATTGTTATCTTGGGAGAACTATTTCTGNAAAATTTTTAAAAATGGTCCCTTATTGAAAAAAAATTTAATTGATAAATAGTTTGTAAATGAATTTTTGAAGAAAGTGAAGAGTAAATTCTTATAAAATCTGCTTATTCAGAAATAATCAGGTTCTTTCTTGTTGACGAGAAAATTGTGGTGGTGGATGCAAAAAGAAAAATCTTGCTAACACACACAATATAAATCCTTCTCCTAATAAGACAGCACTTTTAACATCTGAAAAAAAATTATTAATAAAAGTAATTATTTTGAATAATAATAATACATAGATTTCAGTGATTTCTATTAATGAAAATGGTTCCTTTCTCAAATTTTATTAGTTCAAATGAAAATTTAATGATGCAGATATGGATTATTTGAAAAACATGTCATATCAAGCATTTAAACAGCCATCTATTTACATGCTTTGATATTTATTTTTATCCCATTATTTTATCAAAATATCAAAAAGTTCTAATATATGGACTAAATATATATGCAAAATAAACATAGCTATTGAATTAAATATTTGGTAATGCTAATTTTTTATATAAAGCTTTTTTTAATTTGTATTGTAAATGTTTTCAATATTATCAAATTTGTCAGCAATACTGAAAGTATATTCAGTTTTTATGAAGTGTATTTCAAAGAGTCGGCATCAGAATATTCTTCACTAAATAGCAAATACTGTAATTATTGAAGTTTCATGAAATAATTAACATTTAAGATCAAAATCCATGAAGTGTCTAGTATCAACATTTCATGGTGTCTCAAAATATAATTTAATGAAGGACACGATTTCAACACAGAGAAGAAAATATTATTATTATATAATAAAATTTTTCTTAGTAGTATATTAAAAAAATATGCTTAAATCATTTTTTGCTATTAACAAATAGCACAAGTCATATTTTAAAAAAATTATGTGATATCCAACAAATTTAAGGAGAGAAACTGCAAGGATGCTATAAAACTTTATGGAAGTGGCAGTCTTGTTATGATAAACCACAGAAGAATAGTAATAGTAAAAAAGTAATATATAGTACAAAATAACAAATAGTAAACATAAACATAAAAAGCATCACAGAATGTTCCAACATTCCAAACAAACTACCAGAGATTTTTGTTAATTTAGTTAATAGATCTGATGTTGGCCTATAAAGTAGGCTGTCCATTGATTAAAAATATTTGCTGGAAAAGTGAATAAGGTTGTTGTATGTGTTACAGTTTTTTTTCTTTTGCAAACTTTAAGCAGCTTAAAACAGTGAATATACAATTAAGTACAGCTGAATGTTAAAGACTTTTTGCTGTATTTCTTCTAAATTTGTCAAATATCTTCATTCTGAATAATTTCTTAATTAAAATACTTAAAATTAGTGTAAAAATAATCAAATAATATATTATAGATTAGAAGACTTACATAGAGCAGACACAATAGGTGATATTGGTGGATGACACGGAAGTGCACCTAAGTCACCAAGTATTTCAAAAATAAAGAACTGGAACCGAATTAAGATGAAATGTAACTGTAGAGTTATAAACTTGCTTCTGATAAAATAGCCAAATAATATAGATGATGTCATCCTTATAAAAATAACTAGTCCATATACACCAAGAAAAAATGATAGTGCATTTGTTGTAATTAAATAAGGACTGAGCTTGTTCAGTGGATACTAAGAGAAAGATAAATTATATATATCATTATATAAATCACAAGTGAATAATATGAATCTTGAAATAGTAAGAACAATTTCAGTTCAATTAAATTGTAATATTTTAAAAATTATTTTATTGATATTTTATTTCATTTTTAACTATAAGGAGTCTTCCATTAATTACATGTACAGTCTAAGGCAGGGGTGGCCAACAGTTTTTGCCCCCGGGCCGGATTGAAAAGAAAACTTTTTCCACAGGCCGAACCAGAGGTTGCCCTAGGAAGATTTTGAGGTGGTGCGAGATCTCATTGTGGTGTCACCCTGTAGAGACTGAATTGTAGACAGAGATTATAGATACATTTTTCACATTATCATGCTTTATCAACACTCTACACTGTACTTAAGAGATTTGTAATGGAGGGTTAACTCTGTATGGTGAGTTGGTGACCTATTTTTTTTTTTTTTTNTCTATTTCATTTAATATCTCAGAATGGGATAAAGATTAAGAAACAAAATTTGGCATGATAGTTTGTGTAAAAGGGGCATTGATGCCATTAAATTTTGGTGGGTAAAGATTGATAGGGTGGTGAGATAGAGGGTGGCCATGTGTCATATCTTTGAGTGGGGTTGGACTTAATGAAGATTTTACTCATTATTAGCATTTTCAGTTTTTTTTATAAACTCATCTCTACCTAAGTTTTTTGCCATTTTATAATAATTAATAATATGAGAGTTTATTACAAAAACTATAACAGCCTTGAAAGTTATGCAACTATTTGCTAGATTTTTCTGGATCAGAATTCACACTCACAATGCAGTTTATGCAGAAGAAGATAATTTTAAGAAATTTCTGTTGGAGTTTAATAAGGTAAATATATGCTTATAATTTTTATGGTTTCAAAAGGAATATTTTTACATGTTGTAAATCACATTGTAATTTAAAAGCATATATAAACATCTGAAAACCGGATATATTAGTAATAAGCCAAACAACCACTAATTCTGTAATACTAAATTTAATAAGAGATGGTACCTAACAGTGACAAATTATTTTAAAATAATTGTATAAAAGTAGTCCGATGTAATCCAACAGTTGTTTGGCTTATAATTTAAAAACAACTGAAGTGGCACATAAAGCTCAAAATACATCTAGAACATCAATAAACAAACTTGAATTACCATTTATCAATAAAAAAAATTTTTTTTTAAATGTGTTGCTTAATCTTCAACTTGACAACTTAACCTGGAATAAGTGCAACATAGTTTACAATTACAAAATAATTGTATTTATTTTAAATATAGTTAAATTTTTCAAAAGAATTTTTTCTTTGATAGTTTGTCAAGATAAATCAAGCTGTGCATTTAATCAAAATAACTCATTACGTTATACTTATTATAGATGTATAATTTTCAATTCATATCCATAAATTAATGTAACATATTATATAAACAAACAGTTTACCAATGACAAAATCTTATTGTTTTCATTGGATACATTGTCTTAAATAAAAAATTTTTTTCATTAAGAGTAACATCATAAATTGTTGCAAAATATTTCAATTCCATTTCAAGCATAGTATGATGTCAGTGCCATCCTAATATATTTAAGTGCCCTGGACTAACAATATCCGGTGCCCTTTTTTTCATAATTAAAAAAATTAATTTTTGTTTTTATAACAGAATACTGGTACAATTTCACCAGCAAATAATAACTAAATAAAAAATAAAAGACCCTTGTGAGGTGGCAGTAGCCAGCACCCACCAGGTGTGATACTCTAGAGCTGTAACCCTATTATCCCAATGGTTGCTATTATATTTGCATGGCATAATTTATTTATTTTTAAGAAATCTTTTCTCCATTCTCATCATTATCTTGGCCAGGTCTACAATGGTATAATTGGTAATGATTTTTATGGAAGATTATTCCTGTCAATTCATTCATGGAGATTTCTAAACTGTCTTCTAGAGCGGTATTTCTCAACCTTTTTCTCATCACAGACTGATCATTTTACATGGACCAATAATTATATGCAACTAAAAATTATTTTTAAATGTTTATCTAGTATTTATTTATGTTTATTTAGTATTTAAATGTCATCCATAATCAAATGTGTCAGTGTCAGTATGATCAAATATTTTTCTGCAGGCCAGTACTGATGTAATTAAGCAATGCATCAATATCAATAACAAACTCTAAATTTGCTTAATAATTAAAAGAAAATTATTATTTGTATTATGTATTAAAATTATGATGCTTTCTAACTATGAATGCATAAAATATCTGCCTCTGTGATACTGCCAAACATTTTTTAAGTGCAAATAAAAAAAGTAGCATTTATTTCATTTATAATTGTATTTGATTTGATTTTTCTTAATACTAAAAGAAATCATATGTACACACAATTACAGATTCAGATTCTTTTAATGAAACATACAAACAATTAGTATCTACTTGGCACTGTTTGCACACAGCCAAGTGAATCCAGAAACAAAGAAAGTGAATACAGTGAATAAATATAATTGAAATATTATATAGAAAAAATAAATAAAATTAAGATTAACAATTAAGATTGACAAATAAGAAATGATAAAACATTTACAAATTACAAGAATAATATGAAACAATACACACAAAACAAAAATGTTGTGACATTGTGGTAGCCCACCTAAAGATACACTATGTGATAGGGAGGTTCTGAGAAGCCTCAAGAAGTTTTTGTCTTTGAATTCTGTCGTTTCTTTTCTACATCTTTTATGTTCTTTCAAATCATTTCATGTTATTTCTTACATTCAAGTTGTCACTTTTTCATATCACTTTTTCCCTTTCTCTTTCCTTTTTCCTATACACAATTACTGTATTTAGGACAGTTTGACAGTGAACATGGATTTGTGCCATTGTGAATTATATGCACAAAATTTCAGTATTTCATTTTACTTTCCTGGTTGTTGTGTGTACATAAGGAGGAAACATATTGAAATTGTGTCAAATTTAACCCTCCCCCTCTGAGTTTTTTGCAAATCTCTATGAATTGAGACCCCTGAACCCAAAACAAAATTTCATGGATATGTGTTGGTATCTATTTCATTTAATATCTCAGAATGGGATAAAGATTAAGAAACAAAATTTGGCATGATAGTTTGTGTAAAAGGGGCATTGATGCCATTAAATTTTGGTGGGTAAAGATTGATAGGGTGGTGAGATAGAGGGTGGCCATGTGTCATATCTTTGAGTGGGGTTGGACTTAATGAAGATTTTACTCATTATTAGCATTTTCAGTTTTTTTTATAAACTCATCTCTACCTAAGTTTTTTGCCATNAACATTTCAGAATGATATAATTCTGCAGTCTGATTAATCTCAATACAAACATTATTTGTAAGTTAATTGTTATTTATCACTTAATGTGCTATGTGTTTTTTTTTTTTGAAAAAAAAGAGTGAGAGTATTAAAAAAATGCCAAAATCATGCAATTTGGTACTGTTAAATTGAGTGCTAGGTGTACTAATGATTTGACATTAGATTAGAGATCTGAATATCAAATATTAAGTAATCATTTAAATTATATATATCATAAATATATTAAAAATGGTTATGGCAGTAAATGCATCACTTTGCCATTCTAAAAAATTTGAAATGTTTATTTACATCCGTCACTACCTGTTTTCTGCAAAATCCTCACTACCTGTTCTTCTAAATTATAAAAAGTTTTAATTCACATAAATTTCATCTTTGTTATTCTGGATAACATTTTGAGAATCATTCATTTAAATGCAATTTTATCCTTACAAGCATGAAATTAAGTGATTAAAGTAAAATAACTGCATGAGAACCTCAGCGAATTTTGACCTATTGACCCAGAAGTTGCTTGAGTACCTCACTGATAATGACAAAGGTCTAAGTTTAAAATTTGAACTTTCTAGATCAAGTAGTTTTTCTCTAAGAATGTCTGCAGTGCTGGATGAAGAAAAAGAATAAAATATAGTTTTTTGATGATTTATGCACTTTTCAATGTATCTTTTTGTAGAAAAGCTTGAAAGTTTTGCACAGTACCTAAGAAAACAATTATCTTTCAAATAAGATGTTCAAAGTTATTTTGGTCATTTGGGAAGGACATGGCTACTAGTTGAAAGAAGGGGCTTTCTCCTGTTTCCACTCAAAGGTACAACCTGGATGTTGAAAAGATGGTGAAAGAAGAGGAAGAGAGAAGAAGGCAAGTGATGAAAAGGAGGGCAGGGTGATGATAGGATCATAGGGCGCCTGCATCGTTAGTTTATTAAATACAAAACAGAAAACATGTGTACAAATTATATACAAGATGCACATATCACAGGTGACAACTAACAATGACTAATACAGTTTGAACAAATATAAATAGAGAACATTATAATGTATTTACAATAAATATATAGATACACCCGACCGGTGAGGACCAAACCACTTGTTTGGTCAAATACAAAGAAATCACGATTACATCACTACAAAATAAGTGAAATAATGCACCGAACTTGAGTGACAAAATTACGACACTATCAGGAATGGTTATGTACAGTACATAAGGAGAATGAAAACATATTTGGGAGGAACAGAAATCAATCCCAAAATTGGCAACTCTGATTCCTGTATATATTATCAGTCAGTGACTTTTTATTGGGCATGGAATCACTGCTCTGATTCTCAATTTAAGCATTAAAAATATTTTGTGTAATGTTTAGAAATATGTTTGGCTAGATTTTGTAGATTTAGTTAAACAATTTTCCATTAATATTGCCAATTTTTCCAGAGTAGTATTCAGTTTTTCCAGGAATTGACATACAACATATTAAAACTAACAAAACATTTACATTAGAAACTCATTTTAAATCAGACAGCAAAACATCCAGAAATTCTGGAGAAGATTCAGTTAACTCAGATTTAGTGTAACTTTGGTTTATCACTCACAAAAGACTTTCTGATTAAAAATATATGCTATCCACCTCAAATTAGTGCACCTTCAAATATTCATGATGCAGATTAAAAAATATGATTATAATGCATGATTAAAAATTATACTTTGAAAGTAAAAAAGATGATTGTTTCTAATAGAAGCATTGAATATTTTTGATTGAACATAGAAAAGAAAAGGATTAGTTCCTAGTTTTATTTTGAATCTCAAAAATTTCATATTAAAATTATAATTTTAATGAAAATTTAAGTTCTTGATAACTTTTATTATAAATTTTCAGACAACAGGAATATAAATTTTAAAGATATACAGTATATCCATTTTTATATTAAAGATAAACAGATATGTTTAAAATATACAGCTTTGTTGAGTGAAAGATTAAATTAACAATATATATTCTCTGTATTATATTCTATAATTGCTGGGAAAGTAAATGAAATTGGAAGTTTTTATTATAGTTCTTTAAAACTAGTGGTTTGTCTTTATTTATCTTTAATAATTGAGCAGAAATGCTTGGTTATGTATTTAATTAAACATTTTCATTTTCATGTTTTTGTTCCTAAAAATTATGTTGTAATATTAGTACACCTAGCACTCAATTTAACAGTACCAAATTGCATGATTTTGGCATTTTTTTAATACTTTGACTCTTTTTTTTCAAAAAAAAGCATAGCACATTAAATAATATTGTAATAAATTGAGCATACTGTTGTTTTCTTATGATTGTAATAGAGTGTATTACTTGTCTAATAGAGATGAATAATTATTTTTTAGGAGTTGATGAAAATATGGCAGCTTCTCTTATATATGAAAATGGAAAGTTAGCGAATATCAGTTCTTCAGCAAAATGCAATTATTGTTGTGAGTTAGTTATATCAGGAACAAAAGGATGTATAAAGGTTTGTAAATTATTAAATAACATATAAAATTTAATAAGAAAACAATAAAGTTTTAGGTTTCAAAAGTCTGATTTGAACTTTGAAGGCATGCATTTATTTTGAAAATTTAGATGTCATCAAATATTTAATTGTATTTTATGAAATCAAAATACTCATTTAGCAATATTTGATGATTATTTTATAATATTGATGCTGACTAAATCTTTTGGATATATTTCTATAAGAAATTTGTAAAGCTTCTTGTTAGTATAAGATTAATGGTAAAGTAATATGTACTATGATCAACCTAAGCATTCTTCCAGCAGTGAAGAAGGTTTCTGATAAACTCAATATTGAGTTAATTTCCAGCATTAAAAATTCATATTTAATGGTAATGTGAATGAATTTAGTCTTTTTACTGTCCTAAAACAGGTTTATAATTTTTTTTGGTCAATCCCATTCAAAAATTAGATATAATTTGCTAACTTTTTTCTGCATTGATGCAAAATAACAGTAAATTACAAATAGAATGAAATAATAAATCATACAGGAATTAATATCATCTTTTATTAAACATAAATAAAAATTCAAAGCTCTGTATTCTATTTTATTAATATTAAAAAATATATCAGTTATTATTATTCTTTAAAATATAATAAAAATAAATTTGTCCATTAACTTCCAAATGATTCTACTAATTCACCAACTCTCCGATAAATCAATTGATTCCTTAAGGATCACTATTAACCAGGTTGGCAACTAGATGTCCAAACAGTTAAGGTGGCAGCCTACCACTTAACTGCTTCTGGATCTGACATCAAATCCAGATGGGTTGAAAGAACCCCAGAAATTTTTTGGAAGATGAACCATTCAGATATGTCTTGCCCCATCCCTCACTATTTGGTTGCCCCATAATGGGCTTGCTATAAGGGCCTTTTAGTACTCAGGTTGGAAGCTTTTGTTCTGAAATATTGTTTAATGATGAAAAATAATTTTAAATTTTAGAAAGATTTGATGTATTTATGAGCAAATGTGAAAGATTAATTCTAAATTTTTTAAAATGTTAAATATAATTAGCCTTTGTTTGTTAAATTTGTGCATAATATTTAATTTATTGTAGCACAAATCATATCACAGCTTGTAAACATGATAAATGCCAAGTTCTAATCTTTAACCACTATCAGTTTCTTACAAGAAATACATTTTGGGCTACTTTAAGCAGTCATTATCAGGTTAATATGAAGATTTTCAACATTCAAGAACATTGCATTTGGAGACAAATCATGTTTTACAAATTTTTAAGTTTGGCTGCATGTTTAAATTTTGTAAAGTATATGTCCCCATATGAAGATGTTCTAGAATAATGATATTTCTTGTATTAATCTAATGATGACAAATGGTTGGATGGCTGAGCCTGTTAAGGCATCAGTCTCCCATTCTAAGGACTCAGGATCAAATTTAGCAAACAAATCCAGGAATTTTTCACAAACAGAAAGTTTTAGATTTGTCAAGTCCTGTCTCTCACCATCTAGTTTCTCCATTGTGAGCCTAGCTTAAGCCATGATGAATATGAAAAAAAGACTCTCTTTGTGCCTATAGGATGGAAAAAGCAAAAAATGAAAAAATATCTCATAATGACTGTTTGAACCAGCTAAAAGTGTTAGTTTTTTCTAATTAAAAATTGATTGCTGGTAATTAAATATTAGAAGCATTGCATTTAATTTATTTTAAATAGGAATTTATTTACTTACTTAATTCTGTATGATTTAATTTATAAGTAGTTTAAATTTAAATGATATTTGAAAGATTGAACTACTGTTGGAATGCTGTTTACATTGTTGGAATGCTGTAATATTCTTATATCCAAACTTATGTACAAATAAAGTAGGCTTTTTTGAATTTTGAAAAATAACTGATGTGAAAATTTGTAAATCCTAATTTTTGATAAATATTTTAATTTTATAACAGGAAAACATATTATAATTTATGTGATAATAGAGAATTGTTTGTATAGCATCTAAATTAATTATAATATTTTTACAGATTCCACATCCAATGTGGTGCCCTACCAGTATAATTACACCAACAGGAAAGTATGATTTTCCATTACCAGATACTGTGACACCTTGTAATTTTACAAATAGTTCTGGGTTAAGGTATGAAGCAGAAGAAGTAAGAAGATGCTTAAAAGAAGGTAAATATAATAATATAAATAGAGAATATATAATTATTCACATCCATTAATAAAGTCTATATCATTAATGTTCCTTGTGTACTGTAAGTTACTGAAAAAAAGCCAAAATATATGCTTAAAAAGTCTACAGAAATTGATAATGAGAATGATGAATTAACAACTCTGCAGTGATTGATGGATGTACCTGTCAAGGGCAATCACGTAACACTGGAGAACGACATTGACATCCGCAAAAAAATTCATATAAAATACCTGGATCATTTCATGAAGTTGTAGAATTTTCACGAGTAGTTGGATTCTCCAACTTTGTTTTGGAATATCCTTCAATTCTCAAGAAAATTAAAATAAATATGAAATTTCAGAGGGCCATCTATCGACATAAATCGAATTTAAACCTCCCGCCATCATCTGATTGGTTAATGATATAATTATGATTTTACTTCACGAGAAAACAAAATAACAAAGCTTTAAAAATGCTATTGTAAGTTTTACCTGAAATGAAAAATAAACTTGAATGTTGTTTGATTGATTCATATCTCAAAATATTTTTAACAATCTATCTTTAAAACCAAATTTATTGCTATTAATTACAGATGAATTTACAAGATAATCCAACATTATTTTGCTTTTTTGATCTAGTTTGAAATACAGTAGAAAAATTTTTGAGGATAAAATACAGTAGACCCTCGATTTAATGTACAGTACTTCAGAGTTAATGGATAGAAAAATTTATAAATTAAAAATTTGCAGATAAACATGCTAAAAGATGAGTCAATGAGTCAATTACTCAATGTATCTGTACCTGTACATTATAATATTTTATTCATACTTATATATTATAACATTTTAATACATTCTGTATATTGTAAGCTTGTTTTTAATATACTTACATACATTTAATGGACTTTTGGCAATAGCCTGTTAAAATGAAGGTCTATTGTATTAAAATTGATTCAGGCAAGTTCATATTCTTCACATTTTATGAAGCATTTGGAGAAATAGCCAAGGTGGTAAATCTAACCTGTCATTGTAGAGACCTAAATTTGAGTTTGGATGAATATTTTTATAGACAGTTTGATTTGGATATTTCAGGCTTTGTCATTTGACACCTGGTCACACCCATTTTGAGCCCTGGCTAAACATATACTGTGAAAAGAATTAGGAACTAAGAAAATTTATATTAGAGACATTTTCTATGTTTGATATGGAATTATTTATATTTATAACAGTGAATCTGCTTTTATTTTAAAGATAAAGATAAATTATAGAATTATAATAGATTAGATTAAAAAAGTATAAATGTTTTTTTATAGAATTAATCAGGTCATCAGAAAACTCAAAATTAGTACTGTATTTGATAATTATGATCTTTTAGTATTAATAGACTGAATGATGATTATTCAGATTTTCACTTATAATCTATTACTTTTGCAGAATCAAACAGAATTACATAACAATTAAAAATGAAGATTTTGATTTAAATAAATTTAAAAATATTAGAAACTGTCAAGTATAAAGATAAAAATATCAAACTTGTATATCATTGTTTATTAGCAATTGATGTAGAAAAAAAATTTATTTTTATGTATTTTCTATTTCTATATACAGTACAGCTAGTGTTTTAGAATTTAGATTGTTAAACTGAAAATAAAAAAACAAGTATCAAACGAAAGTACTGTAATAATAAATAGTAGTATAGTAAAACCTGTGTAAACTGGACTTGCACAGCACCAAATATTTTTTCCAGTTTGGTAGATTTCTGTTTTGAACAGATATTTTTAACACTGAAAATCATTGCGTTCAAAAGAATTTTTCCGTTTAGGCAGGTTTTTGTTTTATTAATGTTCTATTTTAAACAAGTTTTACTATATATGATAGCAAGAAGAACAATTAAGAATTGTCAAATAATCTGTAATTTGTCTTTATTTGATCTTAGTACAGCAGGTCTTTTGTAAAATTAAAGAAAAACAACTGTTTATCAATTATTCTGTGTTTTAATTTTCAATGCTCTTGGTTCTTTTTAAATTCATAAATATCATATAGTGGTTGATATTATTATTGTATGTCTGTACTACAATCAATGTAGACCTACATTTTTGGTACTCTGAAGTTTGGATTGTTATGGAGTTTCTTTACTATGAGCAATAATCAGGCAACATCTAGCAAACAAGACCTTTTGAGGCCCAAATCACTGAGAATAGGATGGTGAGGTAGAGTGAACTGAAGCACTAGTTTCTGACTAATAAAACCAGCAGAAATATACATAAAAATATCATTTACACTCAGATGTAGCCAGAAATTTCTGAGCATGGAAGATGGTTTGCATAGATTCAGCACAGGTGGTTAGGCCACTCAATAGCCATGAGTATTAACAATACATTATTGCAAAAGTAGATGTCATGTTGGTATGGCAGTTCGTTGTGTATTATATGCAAATTAGTGGTAATTACATATTGACAATGCTCAATAAAAATAGGCTGAATAAGAACAAGTATTAAATTTTATTCTGCTTTACTTTGTGCCTGTTTATATAGCCTAATATTTAAATCTTTTTTTCTGTTTCATCCAGTGATCAACTATTTGTAACATTTTTACATTGTTTATTTTTAAACTTGAGTGGGGATAGTAATGGTGGACAACAGAGAGTGGGGAATAGATGTGAAAAATGCCAACGCTTATGGATAAAACCCTCCACACTATGAACCAAGCTTATAAGCACATTTTGACCTAGGCATTTTTGATACTAAACACTAGCAAAGATATAATCAAAAACTTCCCGAAAATGAAGAAAAAGAAAATTCAGAGGAATGAAAATCCCACTACCCAACATAAATGCACAGAAAAAAATATTAGTTCATTCTCTACTAGAGGTAGGTGGTTATCAAAGTGNCCTCTGAGTTTTTTGCAAATCTCTATGAATTGAGACCCCTGAACCCAACACAAAATTTCATGGATATGTGTTGGTATCTATTTCATTTAATATCTCAGAATGGGATAAAGATTAAGAAACAAAATTTGGCATGATAGTTTGTGTAAAAGGGGCATTGATGCCATTAAATTTTGGTGGGTAAAGATTGATAGGGTGGTGAGATAGAGGGTGGCCATGTGTCATATCTTTGAGTGGGGTTGGACTTAATGAAGATTTTACTCATTATTAGCATTTTCAGTTTTTTTTATAAACTCATCTCTACCTAAGTTTTTTGCCATTTTATAATAATTAATAATATGAGAGTTTATTACAAAAACTATAACAGCCTTGAAAGTTATGCAACTATTTGCTAGATTTTTCTGGATCAGAATTCACACTCACAATGCAGTTTATGCAGAAGAAGATAATTTTAAGAAATTTCTGTTGGAGTTTAATAAGGTAAATATATGCTTATAATTTTTATGGTTTCAAAAGGAATATTTTTACATGTTGTAAATCACATTGTAATTTAAAAGCATATATAAACATCTGAAAACCGGATATATTAGTAATAAGCCAAACAACCACTAATTCTGTAATACTAAATTTAATAAGAGATGGTACCTAACAGTGACAAATTATTTTAAAATAATTGTATAAAAGTAGTCCGATGTAATCCAACAGTTGTTTGGCTTATAATTTAAAAACAACTGAAGTGGCACATAAAGCTCAAAATACATCTAGAACATCAATAAACAAACTTGAATTACCATTTATCAATAAAAAAAATTTTTTTTTAAATGTGTTGCTTAATCTTCAACTTGACAACTTAACCTGGAATAAGTGCAACATAGTTTACAATTACAAAATAATTGTATTTATTTTAAATATAGTTAAATTTTTCAAAAGAATTTTTTCTTTGATAGTTTGTCAAGATAAATCAAGCTGTGCATTTAATCAAAATAACTCATTACGTTATACTTATTATAGATGTATAATTTTCAATTCATATCCATAAATTAATGTAACATATTATATAAACAAACAGTTTACCAATGACAAAATCTTATTGTTTTCATTGGATACATTGTCTTAAATAAAAAATTTTTTTCATTAAGAGTAACATCATAAATTGTTGCAAAATATTTCAATTCCATTTCAAGCATAGTCTGATGTCAGTGCCATCCTAATATATTTAAGTGCCCTGGACTAACAATATCCGGTGCCCTTTTTTTCATAATTAAAAAAATTAATTTTTGTTTTTATAACAGAATACTGGTACAATTTCACCAGCAAATAATAACTAAATAAAAAATAAAAGACCCTTGTGAGGTGGCAGTAGCCAGCACCCACCAGGTGTGATACTCTAGAGCTGTAACCCTATTATCCCAATGGTTGCTATTATATTTGCATGGCATAATTTATTTATTTTTAAGAAATCTTTTCTCCATTCTCATCATTATCTTGGCCAGGTCTACAATGGTATAATTGGTAATGATTTTTATGGAAGATTATTCCTGTCAATTCATTCATGGAGATTTCTAAACTGTCTTCTAGAGCGGTATTTCTCAACCTTTTTCTCATCACAGACTGATCATTTTACATGGACCAATAATTATATGCAACTAAAAATTATTTTTAAATGTTTATCTAGTATTTATTTATGTTTATTTAGTATTTAAATGTCATCCATAATCAAATGTGTCAGTGTCAGTATGATCAAATATTTTTCTGCAGGCCAGTACTATTAACTATTCTAGAGAGCATTTTTCAAACTTGCGAACAGGGAGAACTTTGGGTGTTTTCTTTAACTGAATATAAAATTGAAGGAAAAGTTATGGACATACAGTGTATACATAATAATATGTGTATCCATAACTTTTTCCTTCAATTTTGTTAAACACATGAGATATATGTATTTATATTCATCTCATCCTTGAAGAGGTAAATTTAAGACTTTTAAATGTTGAAATAAATCTGATAAATAACAGTTTGAAAGTATCAATTAATATCCTTTTAACAATTAACAAGAGTTAAATTTTTTCTGACAAGAAAGTGAGTTGATTTTTCTCAATATTTTCATGATCTTGTTAATAGTTTTCCTCTAGGCAACCAGAGGAAATAGTTTTCCTCTGGTTGCCTAGAGGAAAACTATTATGTGATTTTCTAGAAATTAAAAAAAATTTATTTTTATGTATTTTCTATTTCTATATACAGTACAGCTAGTGTTTTAGAATTTAGATTGTTAAACTGAAAATAAAAAAACAAGTATCAAACGAAAGTACTGTAATAATAAATAGTAGTATAGTAAAACCTGTGTAAACTGGACTTGCACAGCACCAAATATTTTTTCCAGTTTGGTAGATTTCTGTTTTGAACAGATATTTTTAACACTGAAAATCATTGCGTTCAAAAGAATTTTTCCGTTTAGGCAGGTTTTTGTTTTATTAATGTTCTATTTTAAACAAGTTTTACTATATATGATAGCAAGAAGAACAATTAAGAATTGTCAAATAATCTGTAATTTGTCTTTATTTGATCTTAGTACAGCAGGT